ATATGGTTGACAAATGTTGACAAAACTATTTCTTAAATTCTCAAAAGTTTTGCACATAAAATTTGAATCAGTAAAAGTAAGCAAAATAAAGTAGCAATAGCAGTATTAGCAGTTATGGTAGTGATAATAATAATAGTAGTAGTAGTGAGTAGTAGTAGTAGTAGTAGTAGTAGTAGTAGTAGTAGTAATTAGCAGTATCAATAGCTGTAGCAATAAAGTAACAACATATTTTTTTCCTGTTAACATTTTTTACAGCAATAATATTGAACATAAATTCTAAATGGCAGATTTGAGCAAATTTCCATATAACATCCTAATAGCCGGAATAACCATTATGCTGTTGTGGCGGTGATATTGTTCGATGGAAGCTTTCTGTGGTAGTTGTGACCTCGTAAGTACGGTCCTGATTCTTACGATGTCGTGCCGTTCCAACTGCTGGTTGCTGTGGCACGTCCTCCTCATAAACACTAAAAATTGTTGCTCCATCTTTATTTTCCGTTTAAATCTTACCAAATATTTATGCTGTAAGTGTATTTAATCTTTGATGTTCTTAGGATGTTTCTTTTTTTTTTAGATGAGCAGCTGGAAATGTTTTTATGTCAATCTTTGATAGAATTATAAACAATAAATTTGAAACCTATACACTTCTTTCTTGATTTTTTACAAATTATAAATGACTTTCAAGTTTGATCGAAAGATTATAAAGCAAAAAGTTGAAACAGTTAAAACATCAAAGATACAATAATTTTTTTAGCAAGACAAAAGCTTCATACACATATTCTTCCTTAAGTGATGGTGCTTGAACTCGTGGAAGCCGGAACCAGGAGAAAAATGGACTGATACGTTCCTCAACAACTGGAGTTTTTTCAACAACGACATGATAAACCTCTTGAAAGCATAAAACGCAATAGCACTGAAAAATAACTGTCATTTTCTCATCGTATTTCAATAATAAACACTAATTGCCTAAAATATTCCTTTTGAATTATTCAGTCAAACCAAAAAATAATTTTTTTTTCAGTTATTACTATCGTATCGCTTGACACCTAAAGATTTAGATTGTCTAAAATAAAGAAAAAAACATTTAAGAAGTATTTTCCCTTTACTTTGATAAAATTATGAACAGCTATCATGCGTTCATGCGTACAGATTAACAGCGCTTACCAAAAACCAGGCTATTGCAGCTCCTAAAAGCCAACCAACCCAAACGTCTCGCCAGTGATTTTTGTAACCATTGATACGCGAAAATGACGCCACCATAGTGAGTCCCATAAAACCGAATATAAGAAATGGCCTAAGCAAAGGTGCTCCTCGAAGATTAATCATATAGTAGATGTAAAGCTGAAAACAGTGTGCAGCAATGTTATTGGAAGCCTTCTTCATCGAACCTTTAACGTCTAACTGTTCATATTAAGATACGATGATAAACGAATCCAGCTATACAATAAAAGGTTTAAAAAGAACTTACAGAAGCAAAAACGCATGAATACGACGAAAAGGCAGCATGCAAAGACGGGAATGTAAGCCAAGCATACCGTAAGTCGTCAGGATTCCGATAATTACACGCCAATGCCGGTGATGGAGATGGAGAGTGTTCTAAGGGTGCAGTACACATGCTGCAAAAAGAAATCTTTCATTGTAATTGTAACGTCTAACTGTTCTAACTGTTCTTCAAACTTTATAGAAGCATTCTCGTCCCTAAATACTTTATCTTTCCATCTTTTTTTTCCTAACGTTTTATAGTACTCCAAAAAAAAAAAAAAAGAAACGAGAATTTATATTGAAAGTAGCAGCTTAAACTGATAAATGATAGAACGGTATATACTTTTCTTATACAGCTTAAAGAAAAGTAAATACTGTTGATAAATAATGTAAATAAAAAAAAATTTAAACCTCATGTTGACGTTACATAACGATAGGAAATACGGTCTCTGATAACCGGTCATCAATTTTATAGTATGAACAAATATTTGTGTAATCAGCGCACCAAACATAAATACACCTATAATAATAACAGCGTATATTTTGTGCTAATTTTTTAAAGTTGCAAGAACTAACAAACCATAAATTTATTTTTGAGTTATAAACTTTCTTTGCTCACTTTTTTTTTGCTTTTTTCTTAGTTTTATCAGATTATTAGAGTGTCGGTTTAAAAATCACTAATTTTTAATGTTTAGCCATATGTTTTCGTGTTCAGCCAAAAAAACTGGCAAACAAAAGATGTCACCGCACTTTTTCTACTTCGTCTTCTACGGCTCTAATAAACAAAAGAGAAAAGTAACCTACAGAATTTAGGTAAATAAAAAAAATAAAAAAAAAAAAGGAAGAAACTTTTTTGTATCAAATAAGGAAAAAAAGAAAGGGAAAAAAGCAGCTGTTAATTAGTATAATTAGTAAAGTTACCAATAAACCGGACAAGTCTTCGGGTGAAAAGATGCACTTTACACTCGCCACAGTTTGCATAGACAGTCTTTCGGGGTTTAGTTGAAAATAGCCAAAACATCACTTCGCCGATAAAAATCTTGAAAGAAAAAAAAACTGTAATAATAACATTCTGTTCTTTTTTTTTTTTTCACTTTTTGCTTTTTCAACAATGTAAAACAAGATTTTGAAGAAATAAATATATACATACTGTATGTACAAATACACACACACACACACATAAGCATACCATTGTTTTACATAATATAAATTACTTTCTCATTTTAGTTGTTCTTTGCAATTTTTTTATTCTCATGTGTTTCTTTTAAAATTAATTTTTCAAGAATTTGGTAGTTAACAAATGACTGCTGCGCAACATTAATTTAAGAAT